TATTATATCTCTGGAGTTATGTATTTACATTCCTGTGAGTTTGATGACACATCTCTCTCCCAATACACTACATTAGCTTATTTCTAATGTAACATCCAGGGCACTGGTCCCACTCCAGAAAGAATCTGTCCTTGAGCATTTCTATTCTGAACAGTCTGTGTGCAATGTAAATACAGCATTGCTGCTATTGCCCTGAAGAGGAGAACCCATGGGGAAGCATTCGATATGAATTACATACATTACACAGCTTTGATACCCTTTTCTCTTGAGAGCTTTCAAAATGGTAAAATAACAAACATCACAGAATGGTCATAAGGATTCATGTCTGCTGGAATATTCTGGTGATCTTTCGTTTTGTTTGCCTACAATATGCCTTCAATTCATGTGTCTGGATAAAGAGAAGAATTATCTAAAAGTGCTTGTACATAAATAATGGGCTGTTTTGCTACCAATTTATTAGATTTATCAAAGCTAGTGCTTTGAATGGGTGCATTAACAAAGTACAAATGTACTTACTTAGAGAGTGACATCTCTAAGGTCAAACTTTTGCCTAAATTACTATAATGACCAACACAGTCATCTTCAAATCATTTAATAGTTTTGGGACAGTTGTATCCCCAATGCAAAGTTAAACCAACATATATTCTAGGCTTAGAAGTTGGTTAGCAAATATCCTTTAAGGTGAATTTGCATGACATATGCTTTTAGACTGCTGAGAAACAGTGTGGTGCCTCTTTTATGACATTGTGGCACAAACTGAGCATTAAGTCTTGATTTATTTGCAGTCCTCTTGCAGCCTTCTGGAAAACATGTTTTCCTTGCATCTATAGTACTGAATTAACCTGGGTTTCACTCAAGTGCTAGCAAACACATGTGTTACTTGCCTAAAGATTAGTTGTAAGTAGATATGGTTATGGGTCTGGCTTTCTGCAAATTTTCATTTTTGAAAACTATTATAGCTATTTTGACATTTTTAACAAGCAAGCAAAAAGAAATCTTTGTCATCGGAAGCCTTTCTCTAGAAAACAACACAGACCATCAAACAATATTCATAAACAGTTTGTTTCTAAAATTTCTGTGTTGGTCAATGAACCATCAGTGAACCCACCCATGACACTGGTTCACTTATTTCTATGCATTTGTTCTTGCCTTTAATCTGAGCATTGAATCAAAAGAGGAAACCTTTTAATACCTGTAATGAGAATATGAATTGTAATGGGAAACAAAGTTCAAATTTATATGCCCTATGTGATGTGTCAGCATTTCCAACTCTCACTACTCCATAATAAAACTTCTCTTTACTCTTGGAAATACATCCTAATCAACTAGCAGGCACGTGAATTCATGAGTGCTGAAAGGACAATTATAGTAGAATCACTGGCAATGTTTTTATCACGAAGTGACTAAGTCTGGCAATAGACCATATGTCAGGAAAACCACAGACAGTAGTTCCCACATGGGTACTAACGAATAGACCATATGTCAGGAAAACCACAGCCAGTGGTTCCCACATGGGTACTAACAGTGGAAATGTAAGAGGCAGGAAATTTTCTGTGAAAATGCAACTGTTATTACACAGAATTTCCAAAGCAACTAGAATATTGAATAACACTGAAAGTCCATTTTATGCAACAGTCCAGCAAGTTCCCTGAAAACACAAAGAAGGAGAAAAAAATATCACTTACTCTCCTTCAAAAATGAAAGTAGATAAAAACATGAAGAAAGAACAAGTTTTTCTGGGAGTCTCTATGTGTCTACCACAGATCCTACTACTGACACAAGCTATATCCCACATCTTTCTTTTCCTAACACAAGGTGTACAGCAAGCCAATCTGCTCCTGATTTAAAAGTTCTTGTTTGTTCATTTGTTTCTTACCCAGACTTTTCTAATATTCATTTAGGCTATGCCAGTGAACTTCAAGTTTGTAATTGAAGGCATGGAGGAAGCAGGGTCCTTGGGGCTAGAAAAGTTACTTGAAGAAAAGCAGTGCTTTTTCTCTGGTGTTGATTATATTGTGATTTCGGACAACCTCTGGCTCAGCAATAAGAAGCCTGCCCTTACCTATGGGAGTCGGGGGAATGCCTGCTTCTCTGTAGAGGTAAGGGACACAGGATCAATGATCTGGGCCTCTGACCAGAGACCAGTAATTACAGAGATGTAATTACATCTGCATGCAGAGAAAGACTGAGGGCAAGCTTAATATTTACAAATAAAAAGCTTTCTTCCGCATCCTTTTTGGCTTGTACAGATTTCCCTCCTCATTTCAGTTCAATTAGCCTTATTTGCTTCCATTAACTTCTCTTCAATCATCATTTTTCCACTTACCTCTCTCTCTTTGATTCCTTTCCTATCTCATTACTCTCCTGCCACTCTTCCAGTCTCCTCTCATCCTGCCCTCTGCACATCAACTCTTCTCTTGCAGCATCATCCCAACACCTACCCTCAACCCTCTCACTCAAAAAACATTTCTTCTGCTGCTCTGCCTGTTGTAGCAGATACTGCTTAGTGCAATGAATCTGCCTAGAGGGACTCAGTTTAGTTGGATCTCTAGGTCTAAAAGCCAAAAAAAATTTTTTGTAACTGTTGGTAAGAGCAAATAACTGCACTGTAGCCAATGTGCTACAGTCAATGTGAGCTCCTGTGAATGAAGAACAGAAATTTCTCATCTGGAGTGCTTCCTGATGAATCATAAAAGGAATTCAGAGAGAAGATTAAAGAACCTGAGAACTAAAGAAAAATCTGCATTAACTTTTATGTCTAAAAAAGAATGAAATTTGTTTTTAATTGAAAGAGCCTTGGCAGCCTTGATTCAATTCTTCTAAGTCTTGGTTAGGAAAAATGATGCTATTAAAACATCAGAAATGATCTCTGTCTGCTACTAGACAGTTGGCTGTAATAAGGTTTTGAGAAGAATAAACAAGTTTGTTGCAGGAAAATATTTTATGATAAACCCAAGTATAAAAATATGTCTGGAAAAAGAACCCATTTAATAACCCAAATGCCTCTATTCTAAAGCCATGTGATTCAAGAGACCTATAAATTTTTATTTTCTGGAATTAAGGTTGGACATATATTCTTCATATAAAACAAGTAAGATTCATTCTTGCCCTTGTTGTGGAAATTTTGCATTAAATAAAAATGATAGCTTGAAGAATTTATTCTCCGGTGTTAGAAACAGTAATATGCAAATGTTTCATTTACGATGTATTTAATTCTACTGAAGGAAAAGAGGGAATGGAGGGGGGACCCTTGCTCTCAAATGTGTGAGTGCCATAGGCAGCTGAATTTCTCTGTCTGGGGCTTGACAACAGAGCCCCATTTTGTCTTTACCAAAGTGGATAGTTCCTGACATGATGTCTTCCATTTTATAAATAGAAACACATAATCGTTTTCTATTCATTTGTGATCTTGTTTAGAAAACTGAAGCCATCAGTTGCTGTGGAAAACAATCACTCACAGAAAAATAAGGTAGTGAGTGTTTCTATGTAACCTGTGGTTTTGGTACAGGTTGAATGCGGCAGCAAGGACCTTCACTCTGGAACTTTTGGAGGCATCATCCATGAGCCACTGACAGACCTGATAGCTCTGCTGGGTAATAACACACATCATTGCTCATGAGGAACTGGGGAGCAACGGCTAGTGATCAGCCTAACAAAGATCAGTGTCATGTTTAATTGACCTGAGTCAGGCAAGTCTAATTGAAGCAAGACTCCCAAGTTTCCAAGCCTCAACCTAGCTATGGTGGCAGCAGCTGAGAAAGGAAATGTCCCCAGTAAGGCTAGGACCTCAGATGTTAAACTGTTGTCAGTCATGCATCTATTAAGAACATTTAAGGATTGCTGACAACTTTAATACAAACATATAAAGGGAAACCTGACTTTTGTAATGCTGATTTGTACCTCAGTAGGATGATGTTTTCATGTCAGCTGGGCTGACACACCACACAGCACACATGAACAGCAGCTCAATGGCTTCCTTAATAAATACAAAAGTACATCATTAGATGCCACAACTTGATGGATGTGAACAGTAGTTAGTTGTTAGGCTTACTAACTCGGTAAAGAGGTAGAAGGGAAAAGGTGTTGAGATTGCCAAGTGGAAGAAATATGTCCCACTTGTACTGGTATCTCTATCTTATTTTTAGACAGCCTTGTGAATCCCACTGGTCATATTCAGATCCCTGGAATCTACGACAGCGTTGCTGCCCTGACGGAGGAGGAGAGGAAATTATATGAATCGATTGAATTTGATCTAGAGGAACATAAAAATAATAGTGGTGTGAAAAAATTCCTCTATGGCACCAAGGTAACATAAAATCTGTATGAATGGTCAGCAGAATGAATTTAAATCACCCATATGTAGCATTTATGTATAAAGCTAAACTGAAAGATATTTTCATTCAATAGCAAACCTAAAATAAAGGTGCACTGAGGACTAAAAGGTAAATGACTATGCTGAAAATGTAAGGGACCACATCTTGAGAAAGTGATCCAAAATATGAATAATCAATGAAAAGGAATAATGCAAACCTAAAAGTATTGCTCTCCCTTTCATGCCTACCCTTTCTGTCCCTCCAAGCCTAACCAGCCAAACAAAATAAGCATAATATGTCTGCATTTCGGTTACATAGTGAGGAAAAAAGTTGTATTCAGCTCTGCAAAATGGGAGGCAGCTTTAGGCAGATATGCTTTGGGTGGCCTTTATTTATTTAATACAGATTTTGGTGTCTGCCACGCATGCCAAAAAAAGCATCTGAGGCTAGAAGCTTTTCCTTACCAGCAATTAAAAATTGTATCCTAAACAAAAACCAGCAGGTAAAGGCTGGCGTGGAAAGATCTCTCTGTACAAGTGTGGCAGCTGAGAGAAAGGAGTGATTAACTTTTTCTATCACTAACATAATTATACTGGTATAAGCTCTACTAATGTGGATGCTTTTATTTCCATAAAAAAGCTTCTAAATTAGCTAAAGCTAGACTGTAATAATCAGTAATAGAAAAGTATAATGTAACTACACTACCTGAGTTGTGATGCTTAACCTATGTGAGGATGAAGCGATGCAAATTTTATGTGTTCATAAAGCTCTAGTCTCATAAAACTGGAGTAGAAGGAAAGCAGCAGCACCCTGAGGTTCTGCATGAAAACCAGTTCATAATTTATGTATTTCTCCTATCTTTAGAAAAAGAATTTTCTTTCCCTTCTCCAGAAAAACTTGGTTACTGAAAATTATCATCATTGTATTATTTAATGTTCGTTAGTAGAATTTATTCACCAGTATCATCTGGGAGGGTTCTGGCTGAACTGGTCACAGGTTTCTCCTGTGAGAAGTAATGTGATCAAAAGACTGTTAGATCAGAAGTTGTTCTGATTCTACTTTGCACTAGAAAAATTTCCTTCCCAGATACTTTAAAACAGTGCTCCACTTTGCATGAGAAGCTGTTCTCATCCAAATCTTTCTATGACTGAAAGAAGTAGTATTTTTTTAAAATTAAAATATATGTGCATGTGTTTAAATTCAAAATCAAACCTCTTTAAAATACAAAGGTCTCCAAATACAGATTTTTCAGATGCAAAAAGCTTGTTTCTTCACATCAGTTTGTATCAATTGTGAAAGGCTCCAGTGTCATCACTTATATTTTCAATTATTTTTTTTTTGAAGGAAGAAATACTTCTACACCTGTGGCGTTACCCTTCTCTCTCTATTCACGGGATTGAAGGAGCTTTTCATGAACCAGGAATTAAAACAGTCATTCCAGCAAAAGTAATTGGCAAATTCTCAATCCGTCAGGTCCCCCACATGGACCTTTCAGTTGTGAAACAACAGGTAAGAGGAAAACCTTTTATTTGGCCTCCACTGCGTAAACTATATCACTCTTAGCACCTCACAAATTTAGACTTGAAGTAGTAAACTGAATGTTTCTAGCACTTGTTTCCAAGTGAAATGAGAATGTAAGTTTGAGTTTCAAGAAGAGGAAGCTTCTGACTGCAACATGTTTTCCCTGCAGGTGGTGGAACACTTGGAGAGTGTCTTTTCCAAGAGGAACAGTCCAAACAAACTGAAAGTGTCTATGCCTTTGAGTGCAAAGCCCTGGCTTGCTGATGTTAACGATCTCCTATATAAAGCAGCAAGAAGGGCAATAAAAACAGGTGTGTTCCTTCTTTTTTATTCAGTTCTGAATGTGTTTGCAAGTGTGCAGGGGAAATGTGCTCATCAATAGAGCAAAAGGGATTTCCTAGTTTAGTGCTACAGCCACTTACCCCTGTAAGTCTCATTGATTTTGATTGAAAACTCAGCTGCATCTTCCACACGTTGCTAAATTGGGATATGTTAATACTCTGACATAACACGGGGTATTTTGGAGTAGCCAAAAGACCCCATTTACTTCCTTTTTGCACTGATATGAACACAGAGGTTTGTAGAGCACAGCTGGTTCATGAAATCAATTGGCTACAGGCTCAAAATCATTTCTACTCAGCAGCTCTTCATAGTAGCTATCTGTTCAAATACATAGTAGCAGAACAAAGAACCTTGATTTCACTTAATTATTAATTCATCCTTCCTACGTATTTCAGTCTTTGGAGAAGATCCAGATTTTATTCGGGATGGTTCAACAATTCCTGTTGCCAGAATGTTTCAGACTATAACACAGAAGAGTGTGATGATGCTTCCAATTGGAGCTGCTGATGATGGGGAACACTCTCAGAATGAGAAAATAAGCAGGTTCCTTTTATTTGTCTGTTTGTGCCATTAGAGAAGAGGGGGAGGACCAAAGTCCCTTGGTACTTACAAGTGGGTATGACCAGATGGGAAGTTTTACTGTGCATTGGACAGTCCAAAACTCCAGTCTCCAGCAAACTTGTCGCTGTGCTAAGCAGAAAGCAAAATTCCCAATCTATCACATACCGCTATATACTTTTCATGGAGCATCTATTCGGTCTTTAAATACATCACACTGATAATTTTAATTTCACTGTCAATGAAATTTGCCTGTGGTTTTAAAGATGATGTTGCAGATAGACACTCTTCCATCACAGCATCCATTTTGAAGTATGCCAATCAGAGGTGCAAGCTCGTGGTTAAGTAAGCATTTTGATGGTTTTCAGTATAAAGTTGTATTTACATTTAAGGGACTAAACCTAATGAAATTATATTAAAAAATAGCTTAAACTTGCCACTTGTGTTCATTCTTTGAGGCAACACAGTAAGACATCATTACTCAGGGTGTTGCCTGAACATTTGTACTTCTTCTGAATCAACTCATATTTGAACTTCAGGAACTGGAGAATCCTACAGTAGTTCTAAAGTTATTTTTTGTTTCCCCTCTTTATAGCCTCATCTGGCTACAGACAATAGTAATTTGGGGATGTAACACTGGAAAAAGGTTTCTGAAGTGAGCCCTTCAGGAGTGCCAAATTGAAGGTTGTGCAATATTTCTGTGCACTGGGTCCTTCTTTTGGGTAACCCCTCTTGAAAATTCCTCTGATGACTCTGAAAAATTCACTGGACTGGGTTGCTAATTTTAACAGCAGAACAGCCTTCATTCTCTTTCTTTCTTCTTCACAGACACAACTACATTGAAGGAACCAAATTGTTCGCAGCCTTTTTCCTGGAGATATCAAAGCTACATCGGCACTTACATGAAACTTCCCACACAGACACTATCAACTGACAGACCATCACAAGAAAGTCAGCAAAGCACTTTTTCAGTCTTAAACTTTCTAACTTCCTGATCTGGAAAAACATATAAATCACATTTTCAGTGGGTAAAAATTGGTGGAAAAAAATAAATGCCTTTGTCATATAGTCAATCGAGTGATCTTACTGTTAATGCTATAGAATAGGGCTAGGGATAATTCATTCTTGCCGAATGGAATATGTTACATTTTAGTTTTAAAATCCAGGACAAAGGGAATTTTTACATCTATTTTATTAAAATTACTTAATTTCTGTTTTGTAGTGTCACCATGTTCATGCTCACTAGACCATATTCCAGTTTCTGAATATGAGCAATACACAACACTTCAGTCTCCTCCTAACTATATAGAAAATTTCATTATGTAATTGTGTGAAGAAAGATCCACTATCAGGTTAATCTCTTCTCTATCCATCACAGAGGGCTGTAAATAGGAAAAGCAATGCAATTAGCTTGTTGAATTTGATGCCTATGAATATCTATTTATGGGAATAATCACTGAGGTCAATAGAACTGCAGTAGTCAAGAAACATTTCCAGGTCTGGATTCTGCCTTTGCTCCCATTTCATCCAAATCTTATCCTATTGTGCTGTGAGCACAGTTTTAAGAATCACTATATAAAATGTTTCCTTCATGTGACTTTCTTTTTGTACAATAGGAAACAGTTTTTGTAAACATCTGCTCTGGCCAAAGTCTGCCATCAGAAGGGTGTATTTCCAACCAATTATCAATGTTGTTAATTACATTTAAAGCATCAGTTTACATTGATAATTAAATCAAAAGCAAATTATATATTTTGAAATGAAAACATTAGGTGAGGGTTCTGTTTGCTGTTTAGGCAGAACACCTAGCAAAAAGCACCCAATTCAAATCTAGATATTTTTAATTTTAAAATGTGATTTCTCTGATATAATTAATTTGCACACAACCAAGCCAACTGAACCAGTAGTGTTATCCCTACTGCTAAAACAAATGACATTAACTACAGTAAAGAAAGTAATTGGGATCTTTCCTTCCTCTCTTGCTACCTCTCTGCAAAAACCTGCAAGAATAAAGGTAACTGAAGGCATTGTGGACGTGGAGTGAGTATTCCAGTGTCTGCACAGAACTCAGGACAGATCAGTCTGTGCTTAAAAGCTATCACATCATAGAGGTACAGGCGTGAATTTTGCTGAAGTATTTGAAGACACACAATTGTGGATGTGGAGTCTATAGAAGGGAATATTATACTGCAGATAACTTGCACAAACAAGTAATGTGGAAAGTTATTAGCATAAAAGCCTTGGCTGAATTAGAAAACATACTAAAAATCAACAGCTCATTTATTTATCTCGCATGAAATTCCTAGGAGCTGGGCATAAAAGTAGCAGGTATTTGAAAAGATCTGGGAAGAGCAATAATCTGGGATACTTTGCTTTCCAATCATCTTCTCAATAAACACCTATTTTCAGACCCTCCTGGGGCTGAGGCTCACAGTTCAGCTGTAAGACCTGAGTAAGGATGCTGGTGGTGGTCAAGGGGAAGAGGACTCAGCTCTCTCTCTTGTACTCGTGTTGGCACTGCAGACTGCTTAACTGCAGTGTAACTTTTGGTGCTCATGTCAAGAAAGAGGACTCCAAGGACAAAGCCTCAAAGATCAGAAGACTCTAGTGTGAACATCAAGTTGCAGGACAGGTCCTCTGCAATCCCTTCACCTGTTGTAACCATTTAAGAACTAGCACAGTAACAAATGTTGCAGTGGTATTCCAGTGTCTGCACAGAATTCAGGACAGATCAGTCTGTGCTTAAAAGCTGTTACATCATAGAGGTAAATGAATTAATTTTGCTGAAGTGTTTGAAGACATATAATTGACTTAAACCATTGCAATATCTGGATTTGTAGGGGCTTTACAAATCAGCTTCAAACATTATCGAAAGAAACTGCTACTCATAAATATGACTCTTTTGGCAGAAGAGTAGAAGGCTTGGTGAGATGGAGGTGGCAGATTTCCTTGTGAAAGAGGACTGGAGACTGTGTTTCTAGGAATATAACAGCTCTGCAAATCACTGTAATACATGCTGTCTATGGGTTCCACAATGTTATGAAGTGCAGCTGAAGATAGACTTATGTATTTTCTTTCTACTGTTGCTCTTTGCCAACTAAAATGTACTCAAGGACAAGTATCCACTGGCCATCCTGTCTTTTTTTTTTTTTTCTTTGTGTTGTGCAGTATCTCATCAGTCTTTTGGAAAAAGAAATTATGGGCATTTTCCTAAGGTCTGTAGTTGTTATACAATATTTCTAGCAATGTTACTTCTTGGTTGCGTTAACAGGTATTCATTGCCATGGTAAGTTAAAGATAACTTTATAATAGTGTTATAAATATGATTAAAGTTTGCTTGTATTTGTTAGTCTTATACTAGATACGCCATATCCCAAGTTACAGCATACTAAATAGTCTCAAATCCTAATGAACTAACCACAGAAATTGTATGTACACTTTGTGTGTGTACATGTAGTTGTATATATTGTATACTTACAAGAGCTAATCCTGACATTGATTTTTTAAAAAAAAAATCTTGTTCATTCTGATTCAGATTTTTTTTACTAAGGTTGAATAATGGCTTTTGGTTATGGCCAATCTATGTGAAAAACTACAAATGCTATCTGTTTATTAGCATAGTTTACACAAAGTCACAGAAAAGGGCAACAAAAAGATGTGAGCTTTCACTGTAAATTGGGCTGGTTATGGTTTCTTCTAGACTAATTTTTAAATGAGGTCTATTTTTTACATAAAGATCTATTGTTAATTTATGTTTACATCAGGGAGCCTCTTCACACTGAAACATACTGTTTCATGTGTCATACCCTGTGTAATCATATAAAAGGATGCTTTGATGATTAAACATACCCAGGTAGTAAGAAAGCAAATTTGTGTGCAGGTCCAACAGCAGCATCTATGTCTTTGAGAGCCTGATACAGATATCAAGACTTAGAAAATATAAGATGGTTTAGGTTGGAAGGAACCTTAAATATCATAGAATCATAGAATAGTTTGGGACAGAAGAGACCTTTGGAGGTCATCTAGTCCAAGCCCCCTGCAATGAGCAGGATCAACTACATCAGGTTGCTCAGAGCCCGTCCAACCTGACCTTGAATGTGTCCAGGGATGAGGCATCCACCACCTTTCTGGGCAACCTGCTCCAGTGTTTCATTGCCCTCATTGTAAAAAAAAAAAAAACATACATCTAGTCTAAATCTATTTTCTTACAGTTAAAAAAACATTCCCCTTTGTCCTATCACTACAGGCACTGCTAAAAATTTTGTCCTCCATCTTTCTAATAGGCTCCCTTTAAGCATTGGAAGGTTGCTACAAGGTTTCCCAGGAACATTCTGGTTTGTCTTCTGGATAGCAGCACACATTGTTGGCTCATGTCTAGCTTTTCTTCCAACTGAATCCCCAAGTCCTTCTCCTCAGGGCTGCTCTCAATGAGTTATGATAATTAGCATGCCTAATGACACTGGGGATGTCCCACAGTACCTGAGAAATATACCTCCAGGATGGCAGACACTACTCAAGCCCCATGTGAACAGTGGCAGTGGAGTGGCAGCTGGTCAAACACAGCACACCAGAGCACATCTAAGAGTACTGGGTGCTTACCTAGCTGGTCAAGGTCTGCCCATCTCCCTGGTACATTGCTCCAAGTCTTCCCATCTTGTAGGCTATACATCCATGTTGTAGGGAATCAAATGCTCAAGAGTGGGGTCATATTTTCCTATTGATTATTAATGTGCTAGAATAAATTAGAACATTTTAATTTCCATTTAAAATCAGTGGGTTTCAGGGTGAAAGTTGCTTTTTTTATATTAGATAAATACAGTTTTTAATCCTTATGTAATGTTTCAAAAAAGCAAACTAAAAAATGTGTCAGCTAAAATAATGGAGAATAAGATGCTGACAATAGCAGCTGAAGACTGAGATGAGCACCCTCCTGAGAATGAGAACTAATCAGGTCATCATCTGCTTAGCCTGTGAAAGGCGAAGATTAGGCTTACTCACGTAGTTAGGGTTTTCTTTTTCAGAAACACTACTCCCAAGAAGGTTGACTTTGACTCCTGTTAGTTATTCCTTTCAGAATATGGCATTTAGCTTGTCCCACAAAATGTTATAAAATACCTTGCTAGTTAAGGATGTCCATAGTCCATGTTTGGATAGGGAAGATTGTGCAACCATGCCTTTACCAGTGACACAGGAGCCTGTGCCATGGTGGCTGGTGCCAGTGAGGACCCATGAGTTCCCTTGTTTCTGCTGGAAACTTCCATCTGCAAGTAACATGTAAAGTTAAATGCATGAAAAAAGCTCTGAACACAATCTTCTCATTTCATAGGTCCTGTTTAGTCTCCCTGGCTCATCTCCATGCTGCTCATCACTATGGTGTGTGGGGTGCCAGTGTGTGCAAAGCTTGCATGTGAGTAAGTTTATGTCACTGCACACCCTTGTTCTCACCTGCCTCCAGAGTCCGTCCTCTTTGCTAACCACAACACTCACTGCCAGCTGTTTTCCACATGGGATTGTTTAAGATCCTTTTCTAGAAAAGCATCTGCAGTTTTTCACCCCTTCTCTTTTTCACTTGCTTTCCCAAATACATCTTTTTTTTAGAAGACTTACCTTTGAGGAAGGTGCTGACTCCAGAATTGGTTAAAACTGCAGACATCACCATAGTTTTGGTGTAAGGTACTCTCTTACAGAGAAAAAGTGTGGTACTTTGCCAATACTGACTGTCCTAAGGTGAAGCTTAATCGATTTTCAAATTTATACCTTGTATCATAGAATCATAGAGTATCTAGAGTTGGAAGACACCCATATGGGTCATCGAGTCCAGCTCCAAGTGTGTCTGTATTTTGAACTGCAGACACATCATGTCCTTTAAGAGTTATATCATTAGATAAATATTTTAAACAAATATATGAATAGAAAACCATGAACAGTTCCTTG